CCCCTAAATAACCCCTCTTAGCAAGCCAATCAATAGGTGAATTACCTTCCCTACAAATGAAAATCCACTTAATAGTAAACTTATATGTATCAATAATGCTCCAAGTTCTGTTAAGGTTGATTATCAAATTCCATATATGCTCCTTTTTTCTAGAAATAAAGTCCAAATGTAGAGTATAATCCGTTTCGATCATAAAGAGGGATTAGTTAAAAATGACAACATTAGATAATGCAAACAAAATAACCCGACATTCTACCTCAATAGGAAGGTGATAGAAAAAGAAAAAGAAAAATAACATAAGCATTTCCCAAGAGAATTCCAAAAATTTCCACCAGCACCAACACCATTTAAAGTCCACCTATCATCCACATTTTCCTTAACCCAGCCAAGAGGAGGGGCCGACCAACAAAAGAGAGTTGGATTCTTGCCCTCCATTGGGTGCATATTAGAGGTAGCATGCTTCAGGCTTCTGCAAGCTTTAGAGTAATAAGCAAGAATGTAAGAAACTGTGATATGAGGAGTGAGAGAGGACATCTCATATTTGAAATTATTCCTAGCATACCAAATAAACCATAGAATCAATAAAAAAAACCAATTTTGAATATCAGATTTCCAATCCAAAAGACAATCATCCACATGATTCCAAGAATGAAGTGGCACTCCAAAATGCTTCCCCAATTTAAACCAGATTTCTCTATACATGAGAATTGAAAATAAAGGTGAGTGGCATTTTCTTCGGCACACTTACACAATGGGCATTGAGATGCAAGCCTTAAACCCTTAAGTTTTAAGATGTCATCAAAAGGCAGCATAGAAAGAAAGTTCCACCATAAAAAGAAGGGGATAGACGGGGATAAAAAAACATCCTAGATCAAATGCCCCCATTTCCAAGAATCAAAATTTAGCAATTCTTCTTATAACATATTTGTAATAGATAAATTGGATCTATTTTTTTTATAAAGGCCTATCATTTTTATGTTTATTTATTGGTATTTTGGAAATAAATTTAGTTCTGTCTCCCACCATTTCAATTATTTTCTCCACATTCCAATTCTCTTCCACGTAAAACCAGAAACCACAAAACCCACAAATTGCAATAAGCGTGGATGTTCACTCAAATTATCAACCCCTCAGTGATCATACCAAAAGGATATGTTACCATCACCAAGATCCCAATAAATAAACTTATTGGCTTTTGCTTTGGCACAAAGTATAACCTTCCAAATTTTTGATTCATTAGTCTTCCAATTAACAATAGTAGAATAAGTGGAATGACAATATTTATGATAAAGAAATTTAGCCCATAAGGACTCATCAGCCTAAATTTGAACCAAAGTTTGAACATATTATTTTCATAAATGTGATTGAAACTCTTAAAGCTCAAGCCTCCAACAAACTTAGGCTTACAAGCCTTAATCCAAACAGCCCATACTTTCCTAGAGTCATTGCCAACCCAAATAAATTTATTAAATATCCACTCCAGATTACTTTTAGTGGTCTTTTTAAGATTGAGAACCTATAAAGCATACGATGGTATGTTGTGAAGAACACTCTTAAGCAAAGTCAGTCTATCACCATTAGAAATAAAGATATTTGTGTTTGTTTCCTTCTACCTCTCAAGAGATTGACACCTAAATATTTTAGAGGGAGGGAAACAGAGGAACAACCAGTGTAGTTGGTAGCCCAGCTGACCAAATGTTTCTTCACAGACTTCCCATTGTAAATGTGGCATTTTGACTTATTAAAGAATAACCCATAAGTGTTTTAAAAATTATCCAACTTATTAGTGAGTAATTTGATTGAGGACTTACCAGCATTAATGAAGGTAATAACATCATCAGCATAAGTCAAATGATGCTCCTTGTGCAATATATTGATTAAACGTGAAAAGTAATCAAATGCAAAAATAAAGATAGTAAGAGTGAGTGAATCCCCTTGCTTTATTTCTCTTTTAGCAAAGAAAAAACCATGAGATGTACCATTAACCAAAACACTATAATAATTATTCTCCAACCTCTTTTTAATAAGCATGCAAAAATTCCTTTGAAAACCTCTAGCCACCAAAACATTTAAAATAAGATCCTAATTAATTGTGTTGAAAGTCTTTTTTTGTATCAAGTTGAATCACCATATTGCCCCCCTCTACATTTTTTATCAAGATATTCAAAAATTTCTTGATCTAGAAGTATATTATCAGTTATTTTTCTGCCTCTAATAAAAGTAAAGTGTTGGGGAGAGATAAATGTGGATAAGTGTGGTTGCAATCTTGACACGATAATTTTACTGATCACCTTAGAGATCACTGAAGTGACTAGTGAGGCATATGGTCCAGAAGTCAACCCAATTCAATTTATCATTGCCTTTTGGAATAAGCACAATAAGAGAATAGGTGAAATACTTACTAGGATTCTCTCAGGAAAAATCTTTGAATAACTAATACCACACCCGTTTTAATAATCTTCCAGCATTTTAAGTAGAAATCAGAAGTAAAGCCATCAGAGCTAGCAACCTTATTCTTATTGATGTCCTGCAACACATTAAAAATCTCTTCCTTAGTGGGAACATTACATAGTGAAAGGTTAGAGACATAATACCTTTCTCTTAAGAAAAGATAAGACTCCACAGGGGGGACAAGCAAGGTAGAATCAAAAAGGCCAGTGAAATAATGAACAACACTCATACCAATTTCCTTAGAATCAGGGATCAAGCCCCGATTAATATCCTTAATTTTAAATATGACATTCATGTTCCTCTTGTGCTTAAAAGTGGCATGAAAATAATTAGTATTTATGTCTTCATCAGCAAAAAGAGTATCGTTGGCCTTTTGTTTTAACATGCTTTCCTTTAGAGATATAACTTCAAGTAATGTCTTATGGGCATAAGCCAAATCCTCCACAAGGTCAGACCCACAATTATTCTGAGATTCAAGAGAGTCGACCACTTTTTGTGCCTCCATCACCTTGTTGTGAACATTTTCAAAAAACCAGCCAATTCCAACTTCTAAGTTATATGGCTACCTTTTTATGTTGTTTCCAGAGTAGGTGCCAAGGGCTACCTGCACCCTCAAACCTACATGCCTGCTCAATAAAATTTAAAAAGGATTCATGGAATATCATATAGTGAGAAATCAGAAGTTAGATGGTTTAGTAAGGAAAGCCAGGGTAAGTAAAATAGGATTATGATCAAGGGCGGCAAAATTAAGATGTTGGATAGAGGAGACAGTGAAATAATTTTAAAAATGGTCATCACCAAAAAATATGTCAAGCCTTTGGAAAGTTAGCCCCTCCTTCAAGTGAAAGGTGGGTCAGAGAAACCCAGGTCATAAAGATCAACATTAGAAATTTTGTCGCAGAACTTATTGATGAGAGAGATAAGTCACACCTCCCACCACTCAATTTTTTAGAAGGCTTCATAATCATGTTTAAGTCTCCACCAACCGCCTAATTCCATGTTATCATCTCCCCCATATGAACCAATTTATTTCACAATGTGGATTTATCTTGAAGATTGGAACTAGCATAAACAAGAGTGGCACAACCATGCAAATCATTCATAAAAAATGAAACAAGTACAAATTGATCATCATCTTTAACTTTGGATAGGTTGGCTTGGGGTTTCTAGAAGACCCAAATTTTGTTATTTTTATTACAAAAATGTATGTGGTGCTTAAATTTCCTCAGAATTTTATCTTTATTAACTACCACCAAAGGTTCTAAAATCTCAAAAATAAAAAGTTTATTGACCCTGCAAAAGTGTTTCATTCTATTAAGAGAGTAAGGGTCTTCTACTCCCATAATTTTTCAAATCTTGATGTTAAACATGATGTTTCAGCACACCCCTCCTAGATGCAAAAAATCTAGTGTGAGTGTGTAGCTGACCACCATCCGAATAATAACTACCTTCAGTGTTGATGTTCCCTTCATTCAAATGCATTAGTTCATTCTTCCTCTTCCCTTTATTTTATTTTATTTTTCCTGCTCAAGCTTGGCATTAGCTTCTAACACCCTATCATCCACCCCAACGGGGTTCACCGCACCCTCATTAACACCCCTCAAATTATCAACATCGTTAGAAGGAAAATCCCGACCAGCTCTATCAACCAAAAGGTAAAGCATCAACAAGCTCCTCGACCAAAGGAGCCTCATCTGCAGTAGAAACATTTTGTAAATTGTCAAAAATTTTATTATCTTTATTGAGTTGACCTGAGGGGTCAACAAAATCCATGACCAAAGGCACATCATTTTGTTTCTCTGTAATAACCTCAGACGTAACATTAATATGCACATGTTTTAAATTGGGGTGTAAATGATAGCAGAGATTGTTAGAGTGACCAAACATACGACATTGAGAAAAATAGCAGTGGTATTGCTCAATTACCACACGCAACCAATACCCTTGATAAGTTGAACCTATTCATACCTCCTCTAGGAAGGGTTTTGTATCGTCCCTCTCAACCAGGACCTTTGCCTCTGATGGTCTAGAAAGAGTAAACGTGGGTGTATCCATCTTTAAAGGCTTCCCATATATAGCTGCAATTGAGAAAAGTATCTTGTGATTGATGTAACATCAAACCTGTAAAATGAATCTAAACCAGAATAGTAGGTGGTTCTGTTTGAGGATTGAGTCCACGGTCCATTTCGGGATTTTCATAGCTCTATTGTAAATCCTCACAACCTACAAGCAAGCAGACGAGCATAATCCTCATCACCGTTTAATTGAATCAGAATATGCCTCCCATCTAAAAGACCAATCTTCCAGCTCTTAGTCAAACGCATTAACTCAACTTCTTTACGAATGACCTCAAGTTTGGGGTGACCATAAAGGAACTTACCAACCAGCACAAGCTGACAAGAAGAAGCAAGGATATTACATTCAACATCAGAGATAAAGATTACAGGCTTGCCATTTTTCTTATTTTCTTTCTTGAGGAAGTTATAATCACCACAAATATTCAACTAATCGTGAAAAACTTGCAAGAACAAACATGTTTTAGAAATACTAGAGCTATTTCAGCCGGCAAGAGCCTCGACGAAGGAGCTATCCAATGGCATTGTCCAAATCCTTTAATCACCGTTTAGTCACCAGAGCAAACCCTGCAACCTCCATCTTCTGATATATATATATATATATATATAAGGAGCCTAGGCTCCTATTTCATTAAAAAAAAAGCGATACAAA